ATATACTTCTAAATTGCCTACCTTTTCCCAGTCACCATCTGCAATTCTTAGTCTTTGTTTCATCTCAGCAAACCCACAGATTTGGTTTCTTTGATGTTTTTAAAACCCCATTTCTGTGCTGGATAAATATTATACTTTTTTGGTTTTAAAATAATTTAAAATTTTTTTATTTTATTTTTAAAATTTAAACTAAGAATTTAAATATAATTTATATTTTTACTTATATTATGCTTAGAAAAATAAAAATTATGGTATAATATTGATAATTAAAGCCAATAAATAATAAAATAAAAATAAAAAATATTTATTTCAACCATGTGTTTGTTTTGTGTAACCCAAATCATTGATTGGGTTCTTCACCAGGCTTTTCACCTGATTCTAGCCCAGTAGATAATTCTTTGTGTATATATTAGCCTGGCTATATTAGTGAAACCCAAATCATTGATTGGATCATTCCTGGCTTAGCCATGTGCTTGTTGCTAATTTAATTTGCTATGAGATGTAGGCCTACCGAGTCTTTGTCTCTTCGATGAAGTAAAGGCTAGACCAGGCAAAATGTACAAAGTGCCCCTCATACTTTGGAGATTGTATGAAATCAGTAGAGTCCCTCAAGATTGTTTTTGGATATTGCCATTAAGCTATGATAAGTTCAACAGTGTTCAAGTGCTCCTTATGTTTTTTGATCGTAAGAAATTAGACTAGTTCCAAAGGTTGACAAATACTAGGTTTCATTTTTTTTATTGGATTATTATTATTAACTTCTTTTTTTTTGGCGTGTCCAAAGGGAATTCAATTCATAAATTATAACCGAGTAAAAACAATTCAGCGCAAAATAGTTCCAAACGCATCATAGACAAACAAAACCAAACAAAACCAAACAAAAACAAGAAACAAAGTCAAAATTAGTAATAGATTCCTTCATTGAAGCTTCATGCTTAGCCAAATACATCAGCAACAATGTCACCCTCACGGTAATTAAACGCGTTGGAATGCTAGATCAACGTACGACATGTGGTGATTGATCAAAGGGGATCGTGCAAATCATCTTTTTCTTTTCTTTTTTTTTTTTTTCTTCTTTTTAAGTTGATACTTGTTGGATTAGGTTTCTGATTAGCTTCTGGGCAAGTGTTTATTGGTCCCATTACTATTTTAAAATAATTTTTTTTTAAAAAAAATTGCTCACTAAGTGCACATAACACTTTTTGTCTCTGAAAAGCATGTTTCAAGGTGCCACTATGCAAAATAAAATAAAATAAAATAATCAAACCGGACAGCATTATTGAAGTGCACCAACTTTCTTGCAGATTTCACACGAAAAAGATATGTTCACACTTGCTAGTTCTGCGTTTCCACACCCCCCTCACCAACCATGTCCACCAATCCTATTCTTTCCCCATCGTTCACCCTTTCTAGATAGTATATTTAATTAATAGTACTATTGATTAATGAATTTTTTTAATCTGTATTTTTATAGCACAGTTTGATGATTTATTTATTGTATTATTTT